CTGATCCATCATAGACTAGCCATTCGTAAACTTCATCACTGATATATAAAACATTATATCTTTTGCATAAGTTGCCAATAAACTCTATTTCTTCATGTGTAAATACCTTAAACAGATTTTGTATTAAAACAATTTTTCTTTCATTTTCTTTAATTATCATTTAATTCAAGTCTTCCGTGAACATTTATCGAATATTTGAAACAATAAAAATACTCCATAAAGCTATTGAACAAAAGATTTCATTAACAAAAAACAAAACTATAAAACCATATACCTTCCCTGTAGGATTGTGAGGGGTGTTTACAATGATAGCTTTTGTCTTTTCATTAAATAACCCTGTCAATTCATTCTTGTCTAAGACAAAATCACTAGCCTTGTTTCCACCTTCTCTCTTAAAACAAATTGAATATAATACAAAATGTTAAAATAAAATGATTATTTGTTTAATGCTTATTTCTTACAGCATATTTTTTTTACATTAAATGTTTTATAAATAAATATGTATACATTTTATCTTTTTTGATATTTATTTACTCTCAAAGCAATTTTTAATATGCAACAGTGTTGTTTGGTTAGAAACTATTTAAAAAAAGTCTTTTTATAAAAAAGGTTTTGTAAAGAAAAACTATTAAATATTTAATATCATAAATTATACATCAATCAATCAATCAATCATATATATATATATATATATATATATATATATATATATATATATATATATATATATATATATATATATATATATATATATATATATATATATATATACATATATATATATATATATATATATATATATATATATATATATATATATATATATATATATATATATATATATATATATATATATATATATATATATACATATATATATATATATATATATATATATATATATATATATATATATATATATATTCTGAAAATAAGTTTTCAAGGCTATTTACAAATATTATTGAAATACTAATCTCTAGTAAATACCTAAATAAAAATAATTTATATATATATATATATATATATATATATATATATATATATATATATACAACTAATCTTAGTAATAATAATGTTAATAATAATAATAACAATAATAATAAAGTAATTATAATAATTTAAATAAATCGGTATTACTTTCCACACAGTAATCATGTAACAAACAAAGTTACAGTTGCAAACAGTAATAAACTGACAAAACGTAACAACTAACAATGACATAAAAACGACAACTGCTGAAGAAATTATAAAGATTTAGTAAATATATTATTATAATCATAGTTGTTAAAATATAACAATCAAAGTATATTGCAAATGTTATGACCAAATAAATAAATAACATATAAACAGAAAAACACTGAGAAAAACAAAACAAAACAAGTTACAACAAACATTAGGAAACAAAACAAAAAACTATGCAAAATAAACAAAACAAAAAACTTAAGATTAAAAAAAATAATAAAAATAATAATAATAGTACACGGTAGAATTAAACATATACAATAAGTGGCTAAAATGAAAATAAAAACAAACAATATCTTACTGTATAAAAAATTTATATACCACTAAAAATGAATAATAACTAAAAAACAAACAAATGACTAACAAAAAATAATAAGTAAAACAATATACGCTAAAAAATTGAAGAAAAGTAAATAATAAAATGAAAAATCTTAAGAAATATATGAAAGAAAACTAAAGAATTGTATGAAAAAATAAATATATGAAACAAAACTATAGAATTGTATGAAAAAATAAAAATCTTGATTTGCCGATCGAAGTTTCGCTCTTTAAATTGTTTTTTTTCATGCTTTGCCATTCTTTTTGTATATTTCATTTATTAACAGTTTTTTTTGTAACTTCTATTTTCGTTACTTTTTTACTTATTTTCTTTCAGATATTTCTTTTTCTTTTCTTCTTTTAAAAGATTTATTTATTCTTCTTTTTTGTTGATTTCATTTTTAGTTTAATTTATAAATATTTTCTTTTCCTTTTTACTTTTTTTACTTTTAAAAAGTTATTTTCAACCGTTTGAAAAAAGCGTCCACCATTTGCAATGTCATTGCAAAGTCAAAGTTAATGTCATCATAAAACTAAATGACACAGATTTATTTTATTTTATCATTATTATATAGAAATCTCATTAAAAAGAATTTAGTATTAAATGGTTACTTCAACAAATATTTTATCAAAATACCTTTATTACGAGATTTTTGCAAACTTTCTTATCTTAAGTAAAACAGAAATGTAAACACACAGTTAAATATATATTAATAAACAAATCACTTTAGTGACAAAACAATAAATAAAAAAATAATTAAAAACCTAATAACAATTTAATGATCAACAATAGTATTTTCTCTTAATAACTAGATCGACAACATTAAAAACTCTGATTACAATATCTAAATTAATGTTAATGCAAAATAATCATTTATTTTAATTTATGACTATTGACGTAGTTGCAGTCCAAATATTTGTCTAGAGATAATAATCAGAGCTTAAATAAACAGCCAAAAGTTTGAGTCTTTAAAAAAGCTTCAACGATAGTGTTTGAAAATACTTAAGGATATTGAAAACTTTAGTTTTAACAAAAAAAAACATTTTTAAACATCTTTGTACTCTATATGTACAAAGTGAAATGCTTTAAAATCTTACACTTAAATAAATTTACAAATCAGCAAAACTTAAAATTATTTATCTCCTTAAATAAATTCATTTCACTCATAACTTTGTAATAATTTGCAAGTAACTTACTAGTCGTAAAGGTATGTATCGAGGAATTCCATTCACTGCAAGAATGCTTTCACTGTAGCTATCAAAATGTGGTTCAATTAAGATTACCTAAAATTAATTAATTTAAAAAAGTAATATTTAGGGTAATGCTAAACTTGTTTTCGAACTTTTTAAAGTTTACAATTGTGCCATATTTATTAAAGTTTTTAAAAAGCATGTTTAATGTGACATGTGATTCAGACTGACACATCATGTGCAATATGTTGTTTAGTTAGCTGAAAAACTGCAACACTAGTTCAATGATTGTTTAAAATTCAAAATTTGCTTAACAAAAATATAATTTACCCATATACTAAAAATAAGATAAAACGTGTGAACTTTAAAAAAAAATTGAAAATATTTACTTTTTTATTTAATATAACCACAACTATGCCACTATGAAGCAAAGCTAAAGGAGCTACAGCAAATGCTACAACTCCAAATACAAACTCTAAAAAGCAAACTTTACTGAGTAACAATCATGATTTAAAAGTTGAAAAGCCGCATAAGCACTAACGTTGGCAAAAAATAATAACCAAGACATTTGACTTAGTTTTGCTTAACAAATCATAATGGTAGCATTAAAAAAATACTTTAGTAATTATTTGTTGTCAATTTTTAATAATAAAGTTCAGCTTAAAACTTATTGTCTTAAATTGGATGCCAAAAATTGGGGCATTTTAAAGTTGATTTTTATAAACACTGTCGGTATTGAAGGCTTTCATTACAGTTAAAAAATTACATAATTTTTGAATAACTTGTTATTGTACTTTGAAGTAAAGTTTCTAGCAATTAAAAATTTTTTTGGGAGTTCATTAATAAAAAATTTATAAAATTTTGAAATAAATATAGGTTATAAAAATTATATAGAATATTTTAATTATATTGTCACATGTAAGAAAATAAATTACTTTATTTGGATATTTCATATTTGAGCTAGTATTTTAACATAGAAATATAAAAAAGATCTAGGTGTAGTACAGAAAAGGTGTTATATGAAGGTTTTTTTGTTTTTTTAAAAATATTCTATCAAAGTTTAGTTTAGAAAGAAATTTTTATTGTAACAATAACTATACAGATATGCAAGCATAATAGTTAATACTATTATATTTATGTTAGCATTTATTTTTATATCCCTAACTTACTTCATCTCCAGGGTTGACAACAGCGTTAATGATACAGTGCAAGGCTTCATATCCACCTATTGTAACCATGACCTATAAATAAAGCAGTTGTTTTATCTAAATATAATAGCTGAACATATGATATGATAAAAACATTGTATTACGACAACTTTATTTATAAGATATTTTGTTTTCCTCCAAAAAATAATAGATACAGCGATATTAAGCATATAACAGAGTTGGTTGTAGTCATTTCTCACATGATAAACTTCAAAGGATAAAAGACTTCAGTTTTATAATGAATAAATATCTATAAAAAAAGTACACAAAAAAAACAAAACACAACCAAACATACACAAAGAGAAGACACAAGCAAAAGTACACACACCAAAATATAGAGAAAACACAAGCAAAAGAAAAGTACAAAAAGGAGACCAAGATCCAAATCTATAATTTTAAAGTGCATATTTTTAATATATCCAATTTATCTTTTTGTAGGTTTGCATCGAAATTAGACAAAATAGAATATGGTTTAAGTGTACCAGATTTAGAAAGTATTTACATAAAAAAGCATTTACATAAAAAAAAATTAAAGTTACTAAACCTTATTCAATAACAAAATTACTGTAAACATTTTTCTTTACCTCTTTCAAAGCATCTATTGATCTATCAAATAGTGGACCGTAAATGTCTGCAATAGCATTCACAAGATCAATATTACCCTGAAAAAATAAAGTAATGCAAATACTTATAGCAATTTGATATAAGCAATAGGGCGGTCTAAAAATATAAAGTTTAAAAATACAATACTCCACAAGGCTATCCTTATTCCATATGCTATTACTGATTTCATTCTAAAATTTGAATAAAATTAAGTAATATTTAGAAGTAGCAACTTTATAAGACTTTTTAAATTCAATATCGAAAATTCAAGTAATTTTACTTATCAGTTTCTGATTATGTAAATTGTTGTTCTATTATACTTTAATGTTTCTTAAACAAACAAACTTTAAAAACATACTAAACAAACTTTAAAAACAAGCTTTAGCTTGATAATATAATCATGAAACAATATTAAACAAAAGTTTCTTAAAAGTCTAGAAGTGTTCTTAGTGAAACATAAGAGCCGTTTTCGTCGGAACAGGAGACTCTTTCTGATGGCTGGACACTAGTTGCAACAGATACTGTTTCTGAGTTTCATCCTTTGTCAAGGAAGAATTAAAAGATTGAATGAGTGCAGCCCCGTTTTCTGCACAATCATTTACAACCTTTAGAACTTTTACACTAGCCAGGAATGATTAGAAGGTTGTGTAAAAAGCCCAGTTGGTCGGATGCTTTGACAAGAAGGTTCTTGCTTCTTCCTTTCCATTTATTGCTAGAAGATTGAAGATATTCAAAGAACGACTAGTGATGTATGTCTGCAATGGTGCACGATAGTCAAAATCTTTGAAATCCAGATATTTGTGTGCATTTGCGTTTGGTGGCAGAAAAAAGTTGACAACAATAGAAGCTATATTATCATCATCAACGCGTTCATCAAAGAGAGCAAGAGCAACAAGTGCCTTCAAAAATTACCAAAAGTGCCGACCAAATGCCTTGATAGCAGACTCTCTGACTTTGATATTTGGGTACTTGTGTAGTAGAATTAGGAGATTTATATCATTGAAGGAAGCTCTTGGTGCAAGAGGAGCTTCACGCCAATAGCAGGCATAGACCAGTGATACAAAAAGTGCAATGGATTTGATTCCGGCTATCTCTTTTGCAGTAAGTTAGTCCTGATCTTTAACTAGAAAAATCTTGATAGAATAGATGGCTTTAGCCATCCATCTGGCATGATGCATTGCTCAGGGTGCACGAAAACTAAATGTGCCTTCGCCTCCAAGGAAAACATAACATAGCTGTAGTACCTCCTTAAAGTCATCACGGGGAAGTTCTTCATGTATCGCATCCTTGAAAAATGATATCATATCTGCACGAAGACCAATGGGCATACCTTCAAAGAGAATGTCAGGTACAGACTTAAACTCATCCTTGTTTATGAATGGCCACATAGTTTGAAATCGTTTAAACAGCCCTATTTCAGGTCCACTGGATGGTCCAAGAACAGCAGAGAACACATTGGGGAGCACGACCTCAAACACGCAATGGCGACAAGCAATCCATACAAGTTTCTAGAGCTCTTTTAAAAAGAATGCAGGCAATGATGCTCAATCCTGTGTTGGAAGCCGTTGTATCGAAGACTAATCCTTGAATCAATGGTTTGAGTTGCCAGTCTTTTAGTGGCAAAGAACAGTGTAAGCAGGCATTACACTGTTCTTCGCCAGTGCCACGTCCAATCTTTGAGACAGCAAGCAGTTGCTCCTTTTCTTTCCCTGAAACAAGAATGGCTATTTGATCTACAAGTTCTTTGTTGTTGCCGGTAATGTCTGGAAGCAATTTTCCATCCCAATGAAGTAGTAACGGATAATCCGTGTTGGCTGAGAATGATGCCTGTTGTGCAGTTGCTACTGCCTTCCGTGTTGCCATACGAGCACGTTTAATGGTACTACGAGACAAAGCCACATCATCTAACTCCACACCGAGCGCTTGTGCCACTGCCACAACAACAAACATGGCATCTCGATCAGGAAGGTCAACTCGGTCAAATGCAGATGCCACTTCATTTGTGATAATAGATTTCTTTAACTTTATTGAAGCTGGTGTAGAATTGGTTGATATTGATGGGATGACAAAATTATCAGCAGAATCAAAAGAAGACGAGGAGGAATTGTCTGAATCAAGTTGAACAAGAGATGTAGATGGGACTGCAGTCTGCTGTGATAGAACTTTCTCCAATCTAGCAGCTTCTAGTGAAACTCTGCTTCTTTTACCGGACTCTTTGTCGACTAATGACTGGTCAATGC